CTTGTCATCTTAATTCTTTAATTTGCTCTTCAAAAGTTTGAGGTAATATGCTTTTAATAAACTTTTGGTTCTCTTTGGGTTTGTATTTTTTAATTACCCAATTGATTTGGTTAGTATTGAAGATTCCTGTTGATAGTTTTCTGATATTCTCTTTAGGTTTTTGCTATGAATACTTTTTAATAGCATGTAAATATTCTTTTAATATTTTCTTGTTAATTTTAGTATCTTTGGAGGCTTTCTTTTTTTTTCTTTAGTTGATCCATTAGATTTTTTGTCTAATCCGAGCTCGAATTTATTTTGTTCATCATGTTGAGCGCTATCTTGAGAATTAGCAAAAGATGCGACCAATGCATATTTTTTTACTACTGTTGTGTCGTGGAAAATCATTTTTTGTTTACCATGTTGGGCGCTATTGCAAGGTTTTTTCTTGCTTTCAAGGGGTGTATCTCTAGTCTTTCAAGTGAGGTGACTAGGTGCGACAGTTGTGGGTGTGCTTGTATTATTGTCACGTGATACTGGGGTAGACTCTTCTTTTTTCAAGGTGCAAGAGGGATTTTCTGGAACAGAGTTAAGATTTAACCCTGATAACCATTATAATTGGTTCGAGGGAATATCTTGATACAATATTGGTTTCCTATTTATTCGAGCTATTTTATTATTTCTATCTTTTGAGATATTTAATCTGTCTTGATCTACTTCTGATAAGAGTATATAAGCTTGGTCTCCTTCAAGAATTGATATCTTAAGAGTAGCTTTAATATGTTCTACTTGGAATATTGCTTTTACTTGTACAAGGTTTTCTATTGTTTGTCCTTCTGGTAGAATAGCAGTTGATTTTTTTGTGATATCTATTTTTTCTAGTAATCTCAATTCTTTTGCCATATCTGATCCTATGATATTTGCACTTGCTCCTTCGTCTAGTAATACTAATATTGGTTTATTATATAATAGTACTATAAATTGCTATTGTTTCTTTCCTTTTGGTCTAAGATTTTGCTATTTAGCTTCTTTTGGAAATTTGTAGGTTTTAAGAAGATAGTTGTATTCATTTTGTTCGAATGCTTTCTTTATTATCTCTTTATTTGTAGGTTTGGCTGAAAACTTTTGATACTTTTGATAAATAATAGGATCTTTATTAAGTATTTTAGAGTTAATACATTTGATATTATTAATACTTTGTATTTTGGTAATACTAATAGTATTTATGTTTTCTCTAGTGTAGCCTTTAGAAAGTTTCTTTGGGGTTTTCTTTCGAATACTAGGTGAGTCCCCTATTCGAAAGAATTAACTTTTTTCTGAATAGTTTTATAAAAGATATTTGCAGTTATAACTTCTTCATTATCAGATTCTTCTTTAGTTTCTTCTTCAGATTCTGAATAGTATTCTTCTTCACTTTCTTCTTCATTTTCTTCATAATGTCAAAATTTCTTTTTGGTGAATTTCGCTTTGTACAGTTTTCTTTTTCCTTTATTGTAAAGTTTCTTTGAGAAGTTTCCTTTCTTGAATCTTCCTATTTCTATTGGTACTGTTCTTTTTCCTAATTTTTTCCCAGTTATTTGTGTTCCATTATTCTGAGTACATTCTGGTGATGTTTTGGGTATGGTTTTCCACATTGTGAGCAAAATCTTTTCTTTTTAAGTTTCTAATTATTTACATTGTTAAAGGAGTCTTTCTTAGTATTTGAGTAGCAATTCCTGGCAAAATGTTCTGGTTTTCCACATTTAAAGCAGTTTCCTTTAGGTTTGTCATTTTGTAAAGTATTAATATTTTTTATTGAGATTTTCTTTTGAGATTGTTTTTTTTTAGTAAATTTTGCATTATTTATTTTGGTTACTTTGATGATGGCTAATTTTTCAAAGTTAATTTTTCTACTTTGTAACATTATATGTTTTTCTGCTTGAAATACTCTTTCTCCTGCATCCTAAAATTCTTGTAAAGTTGTTGGGTTAGCATAATGAATTGCTCTTTGTATTTCTATAGGCATTCTTGTTTTGAGGTGATTATATTCTTCTGCTTTGAAATTGTCATTAAATAGGTATCCATTGATTTGCATTAACTTTTTATAAGTGCTTCTTCATGCAGAAAATACTGATTCATCTTTCTAATTTGGTTTTACAAAGGAATGCTTTAGGAATTTTTCTTGGCATGCTTGTTGGACATCATTTTTGATGAATGCTTTATCAAAGATTTCTCTACATTCTTTTTGATTATGGGCTACTGCTGCTACTCCGCAGGCTGTTAATGCTGCTGCAGCACTATTTTGTGCTCTATTATATTTATGGTTGCTTGCAAGAGAATATCCACTATGATCTAGTAGAGTATTTTTAATGTCGTCTTGGTTGTTGATATTTGATCTAAACTAGCTTAAAGCTTTATCTTTATTTTCTTTATAAATATCTAATGCTACATCAGATAGTTTGGTAGATACTTTTGCCATTATTGCTCTCCATAATGAAGTATTGCAAAATACTTTTGGGTCATTTGCATTTGCTATTTGATAGTTGGTATTTTGTCTTGTATATTCTTCATCAGGGTTTCCTGAGAATACTCTAAATTCAAATAATATTTTTGGTACATATGAAGAAATTGTAGTTTCTGTTTGGTTTCTCCATTTGATATATTTTTAGAGTCTCTATTAAAAGGTTGTATTGCATTTTCTAGTCCTTGAATATTTGGTATTTTAAGTTTTGTTGCCATTTTTTAACTAAAATATTCTTTATAACTTATTAGTTTGAATTGGTATTCGCACTGTGCTGTTTTTAGCCACTTTCTGATATTATCTTTAGTTGCTCTGGTTACTTGAAGTATGTCTTCTAGAATTTGTTTTTCTTCTATTAAGAATGTGTATAGTAATAAGGCTGCTATTTTATTTTCTGTGATGTCAATATAATAATTTTCTTCCTCTTCGTAGGTCCAGATTCTATTTTGGTTATATGTTCGAGTTTTGATTACTTTTCTTATTGCTGGTCTTCCTAGATTATTTAGTTTATAATATATCCTTGGTATGACTTCTTTAATTTTTGCTTTTTCTGTGTTTTGTAAAAGTTCTGTATATTTTGGAAAGAATTAGTTAAAAACTTATTGGAAAGTTATTTCCATTTCAGGGTTCATTTACTGGTAAAAAACTCTGGTTTTAGGTTTGTTTCTTCAGAAAGTTCTGAAGTTTTTTTATAAACTCTTCTGATTCTTTATATTGTAATGCTAATTACAGTAGTTTTGGATATGATCTTGGTACTAATTTTCTGTTAATTTAGGTATCAAGTTGGTGAGCAGATGCCAGTATATTATATTCGAGGAATGTTGGTCGAATATGATGAGCACGTGGTGCCTGTGGTGACCATGGTACTGAGTGTAAATTGATCGGATCAATGATTTCATGCATGCATAGTTTATTGTAATATATATGTCATATGAATATAATTGTTTGTAGTCTATTATAGTATGTACCTAATTGCACATAACAAATGTAGTCATCCATTGTTATTTGATTAAACCAATTTGTAGTTAGATTGAATAGTTCAATATTAATACAAATAAAGGGATTCATAAGCGAACCCAATTTTCTCTTTCAATACAAAAATAATAAGTTTTGCTCTAATAAGTAAATATTCTTAGTGAACATGGCATACATAGATTGTTGGGGTATACGTGCCTAGTGGGAAAACCAGCGCCAAGTGAGTGTTTAATCTTAGGGAACACCAACCTAAGACCTTGCAGCTAAGAATCCCTATGACAAGGAAGAACCTAGTAAATCCAAAGGACTTTCGCATTAAGATATAACATCTTTCACATTAAGATACAACATAAGAACAATTAAGAAAGTTGTTTATTTACAAAAAAAAAAAAATATTTTTTACAACCTACAACTATACAAGTAATGATATACATTAATATACATCGTATAAGAAAACACTGCAACACTATGGGAAGTAGTGACGCAACGATACCTGTGTATCATAGTGCAGAATATGACGATATTGAAAATTTTTTATATGATTATGAGGGTTACATAAAAGCAAAAAAATATGACAAGAAGACTCAATGTAGAAGAGTCTATATGCATATGCTGGAAAGAATGAGACCATGGATTCGAAAAATACTAATAACTAGTACCACATGGACAACCATCAAAAACAGTATTATTGAAAAAATCAAATCAGAAAATGAAGATAGCATTAACATCAACAGTTTAAAACATATGAAGCAACAAGATAATGAATCAGTCAAGGAATATACAAACCAATACGAAGCCCAAGCTGAATCAGTAAATAATGGTTTAAAAATCAATAAAAAGCATAATTAGTATATTCAAGGATTGAACGAACTATACTGAACGAAGATAGAAAATAGCTATCCGAAAAACTTTGCGAAGGCAAAAAAAAGGGCGTTAGAAATAGAAGATTTCAGAAGAGATAAAAATAATGATAAAGAGAAAACACAGTTAATTACTGAGCATATTGAAGAGTCCAATATAAATATAGATGGTCTTGTAAAAGACTTTGCTGAATTAAAAATCTGCTGTGTTGATCAAAAGCAAGATGGTGAAAATTGGGCCGCAAAATGGAGTCTAATATTAAAGAATTGACAAAAGCTATCAAAAATCTTATCAAAAATAATAGAATATTCAATTCGCGACGAAACCCAAGGATGGTTTAATTAAGTCAAAATCAAAATATCAACAATCAGAATTAAGCACCAAGACCTCATAGGTGCTACAAATGCAACCAAGAGGGACATATCGCAAGAAATTGTCCGAATAGAATGATACAGCCTCAACAAGCTCATATGGGTGAATTGAACGCATTTTACTAATGTGCCAATCTGTGATGATCTGTGATTATCTATTAATTTAGCCAATTAAATTGATTGTTTTTACATTTTTACTAATATTTAATTTCCTATTTTGGAAATTGCACTCCGGTTGCACTCTGATCTAAAAAGGAAAAAAACTTTTAAGCTATATATTTTTGTATTATCTTGATTATTGTGATTATTAATATATTAATAATTATGATTTTATCACATGTAAAATGATCTACAAATACGTCGAATCCGCCCATATGCTGATCAAGGCAATACAGAGAGAAATAATCAAACCTTAAACCCTGAAATTAGAGGATTAAATGTTCAACTTTATGAAATTAAAGAATTCACTTTATGTGATGATGATCAATACTTGATGTTAAAAATTGAAAGAAATAATTTGCTGTTTGATATTTGAAACCTAGAAAAGAGAAGGCATTGTGAGGATGAACATAAAATGCCATCATGGGCAAATAAAGGAACTTACACTGAGACACCACTAGAAGCTAAAGAAAATAAAAAACAATTAGTAATGTACATTCCGATTTCTGAATTAACTCAAGATTTAGATGTATTAAAAACTATAGCCAGGTTAGAGTTACCAATTACATTGGGTCAGCTTTTTAAATAGTCTCCAAAGGCCAAAACAGAAGTGCTAAAAGCTTTAACCCGAAAGAAAAAGGAAAGTAATATATAGGCCGGTGCAAAAATGTAGATACACGAAAATCAGTATCTAAAATACTTCCCTGATTGAAACGTGATGATCTATCTATTCGCATATAAAAATTACAGAAAAGGTAAGCGTGATCAATAATCTAAATCTTTTGTTGATTTTTTTTTTAAGCAGAATGGACAATTTGAAAAGAGCCAAAAGCACGATAACCCTTAACAAAAAAAAAGATGATTCTCAGCACTTACAAGTACTTTTTTGAGTATCGTTAGAGCCAGAAGCAACCAGAACACATACAACTACGCAAGCTTGTTGCCAAGGTTCTAGGAATTGGTGAGGCTACAGTTGCGCGGGTAATTGCTGAAGAAAATAAGAGTGAAATAAACAATTAACAGTACCCAAATTACCTGGTCGCCCAAGAAAAGAACTTAAACCAAATAATTTTGAAGTTATACATGATTTAGTTATGTCTGCAAACTCTGCTGGCCTCCCTCTTTCCACACCCGTGCTGCGGCAAAAACTTGAGAAGAAGGTCATAAGTTTTCAAAATGGCAGTTGCTTCGAATTTTACATGTTTTAGGATATTTTTACGGGCATAGTAAACATCGTAATATATTGCATAAGTTAGCTGAAAATGTGGCTTTTCGTGGCCGCTATTTGAGGTGGCGTTTTAGTAATTTGCAAGATAATAATAGTGTACCTGTTATACCAGAAGTATTTTTAGACGAATCTTACTGCCACTTAAACCACATAACCAATTATACATGGGTACCATCGCACAGAATTGTTTGTATACCAGGGCATGGCCCTTTGTTAGTTATATTTGGTGCAATTATTGTAATGCGCAATGGTAATATAAACAAACTTGAAGGCAAAATTGTCTCCAACTCTCTTTTAATATGAGATCCATCCATTAAACCGCCTTCTTTATGAGGAAGAAAATGGCTAAACGCAGATGAATAGGAAAATATTCCCAACACAATTCGTAATGCAAACCTTGTAGCAGATCAAAGCAATTATCATGGCAATTTTAATGCTAAAATTTTTGAAGACCTTTTTGAAAAACTTTGCGCAGATATTAAAGACTGATATGGGCCAGTATGTATTGTTGGGCGCGAAAACGGCGAGTCTGTTACTAGAAGACCAGAATTCTCGCGCTATGTCAATTTCAAGGCTTGAATAGAGGCGTGTATACGATTTGGCGAGTATCTATTTATTCTCTAAGGGTTTTGTTTATTTTTCAAAGACGAATTTACTAACACTTGATCTTTGCCCTTACTATAATTTC